ATTGTGAAAACACAAAGAAGGTCCCCATCCTCTGTGGTAACTTCATATTCCTCACTGGGGTATCCATGATATCTGATAATTTCACTCTGTGAGAAGCCAAAGGAGAGTTTGTGAACACGCAGGTTGTCCTGTTTTGGAGGGTAACCAAGCTGGGTAGAATGGATGTGGGCTGTTCTGGGACATCAGTGCAAGGCCCCTGGCCATAGGGACCATGTCTGAGAATGAATATTACAGGTCTTGTAACAAGGTGCACCAAAGTCTTCTTCAGTCCTGCTTAAGTGGTGGTTGTCTGGTATTTGACCACGTATTATGAGACGAAGCAGGACTGTAATGAGTGACTAACCTTTTGGGAGATAGTTTGTCCTGTTTTGCAAGGCCGATACAGATCATACCTTTCTATAGATTAAATACATATGTGTGTTGGTATAAGACAATGCCAAAAGCTGTGGGTTTTGGTCCATAATCAATCCTTCCTTGCCAAAGTGCAGTTAGGCAAGCCAAGCAGGCAAGGCAAACAAGGGTGGAGCTTTTGTCACTAAGGAACTCATAAGACCACCTACACCTAATTTTGCATGTACTGTGAGGAAATCTTTGGTGATTCAGAGCAAGGCGTCTTGGATTACTTTGTGTGACGAGAATCTGCTGTTTGAAGGGGAAATTCATCCTGCCTTGCCAGTATACTGAGGAAACAGGTTGTTACAGAAAGGGAGGGCTTTGCTTACTCTGAGACTAGAAACTAGCCTTTGCCTCCGCAGCAAAGGAATTCTTCTCTGGCAGCTTGGACTGTTTGGATGGGAGCATCAAGGTTTCTTCTTACCTAGTGCTCCCTGTCATACTGCTGGAGGATCTTTGTCCTCTTGCCAGGTTCATACCTTCCCTTCTTTGTGCAGCAGCCAGAAGTATCAACGTGTGTTGAGAAAGGTGACTGCAAACAAGTGTCATGAGGCATCGCCCAGCCTTGTGTTCACAGTTTGTCTATTGGGGTTCACCCTAAATGCAGGCAATGAAATTCTGTTGTTCAGTTTGGTATGGACTGGAGATTGTAGTCTGTGCTCTGGTCACAGTCCAGGGCTGAGTCCTGATCCTGGGATCAAAAATACAGTAGCCTGGATTTCCATTGTCCCTTCCGGGGAGTTGCCTGTCCTTGGAGGCAAAAGTAGCAGCCAGCACCCTCCACTGCAGTGCTATGTGTCTGTCGTCCTGTGATATGCAAGAGTTACGTCTGTCCCTGGCACATGCAGGACTGACCCTCATTGCAGTGGTGACTGTAATGCCATGGTTTTGGAAAAGGAAGATTGGAAAATGAGAAATGTGGAAGGGGCCCTTCCTAGCCTCCTGAACAGGCACTGTTAGTGATGGGGCAGTGGTAGTGGTATTGGAAGAGACACTTTAGAAAGAAAGGGAGAGAAAATGACCCAACTTACAACATTCATAAAGGATTCAGGGTTACGAGACTTCCTGAACTGGCTTTTGTCTGAGTTCAGAGCGGATGCTGAAAAGGCAATTCCTTGAGAGCAGAGCATCATGAGGAGGCACCACATCTTGGGGCTGAGTGAAAGAGCACATGCAGGGTTGTTTGCATTAGGAGTGGCGTGGAATTCCACAGAAGACCCAAGTTGGGAGGCTTCTGAAGGTTGCCCATGGTCTGTTCCCCAAGGGGCTGCCAGAATAAGTACCTGTGTGAGGAGGGACCATCTGCAGCTCATCCTGTTCAACAGCGACAGGGTTGCAGACAGGTGAGGAAAACACTTTGACAGACCACACGTGAGTATGCCTGAGCACTCTGTGGGTGCCAAGGGAGCTGTGGCTGGTAGACAGGGCCAGCTCTTGGCATGAATCTAATAGAAGCCTGACAAAGAAGTATGAGTACCTGAGATGACCATCACCCAGATTGTCTGCCTTTATCTGCCTCCACTGCCAGCAGGACGGGTGAAAGGAGAAGAAAGCACTGCTTGTTTCCTTTCTCCTCAGGAATGAGGCGAGAGAGGTTTGGAATGGTCTCTCTTTCCACCTGCTCTTTCCTCCTTTGGGTTCAAATGCTATTCTTGGTGCTGGTCAGTGGTGTGCTGGGGTGAGGGGCCAGTCAATGAGGCTTGTGAAAGGTGCAGGGGCAGTGATTCAGGGACTCTGAGAGGAGATGTAATGGGCTCAGGGCAGTATGCTTGCATTAGCTCAGTGTTAGCTTGCGCTTTCACTGTGGGGTAATGTATCCCAGACCAGATTCAAGTTCTGTCTGAAACTAGTTCCTCTGATAATATGAAGTGAACAACGTGACCATGTGTGGCTCCCCAAAAGCCCCATAAGTCAGTTCCCAGTCAGCCTTGCCTTTCAGATTGAAACTGAGTCATCTAGGTTTCCGTTTACTAACCCCTCAGGCTTCTTCACTAGCTCCTTGCTGACTGCTTCTTCCAAGAACCTGCTCTGTTATCCCCAGAAATTACATTTTTCTTACTGCTACTTCTGAGCCCAGTGTTTCTGTCTCAAAATCAATGGCTGCCACCAACCAAGAACCCATGGAACGATTTGGTTTTAGAGCAGTGAGCAATGACATCCGAGACTGCTTTCATGTAGCCAAGGGTCTTCCTCCCATATTTCTTAGAAATGGCAGTCCATATTGCAAATCTTGTATTGGTCATGGGGCAGTGAGACCTTGCCCTTTCCTAGGTTGACTGATGGTACCAGATTAGCTTCTCTAAATGCAGAGTGCAGTCTATCTAGCACCAGGTTATGCTGACATCACCTACAGTATACATGTTTCCAGGTTTTAGTGTTTATTTTCAAGAACCCACTCAATAAATTCAGAACACTGTTCTCTGTTTTGAACATGCAAATGTTGACTTAGATGCTCCCTAGAAAAGAGAAGAGAAGGTTCTGTGCCCCAGAAAGTTGCTGGGTGTGGGACTATAAGTTAAAACTTCTCCAAGAACAGGAAAAGTGCTCCTTGCCTACAAGAGAGCTGCAGGTAAGTAGGATAGGAATTTTCTTTCTAATCTGAAATGATTCATACATGAAGTTCAGGACTGTGCTTACACATTCTGGAAAAGCCCTTATATATCTAATAGTTGTTGTATGCTGTGCCTGCATCTGTGAGAAGAGAATGAGGGCTGCGAAGAGAAAAGTAGCAGCCATTCTGCATGTGGATAAAGGCCATAAAGATCAGGCAGGCTATATAAGTGTTCAGCAAGAGAATCCATGGGACAAAAAGGTCAGGTAATGCAAGGTAAAATTTTCAGCTCATCAAGGCGTCTAGTAAGATTGCCTCACCAGTAATGACTGGGGACATTACTGCCCTTGTAAGCTTAGTTTCCTCAGAAGAAGAGGACATACTTCTATGACCGCAGTGTGTTTATGTTAGTTCGTCTTTCTGTCCATCCTGTAATTAACTTTGGATGTCATTTGTAAATATCTGCCAAGTTCAGCCCTGAGATACAAGCTTGTAAGGTAATGGGATTCACAGGACCTGCCAAGGTCTGTTTTCGGGGGGAGACTATTCAATGGCGTTAGTGTCTTGCTGGGGGGGAAGGCAGGCCAAAGACAGCTGTTGAGTGTTCTGTAACTAGTTTAGCAGTCAGCAAGAGTGAACTAGACAACTAGTCAGTGTCCATGTAGCTTCAAAGTAGCCACAGCATGCATGGCTGGGCATCGGTGTTTGTGAGAGAATGTCATAGGAGACCTGCTTTTATAATAGTTTGCATTAAGAAGTTAAGCAGACTAAGGAAACAAGTTTTTCTGAAACCAGGCATTGCTAGGTCCATTAGACATGGAGAATCCAATGTTTAATGAAGAACAGAGGTTTTCGTGCAGCCACATGTTTCTGGAGTCTGCTCCTAGCATAAGACATCTGCTATGAGGAGACATGCTGCTCTATGAAGTTTAATTGGACTTGGAAATGGAGCTACAGATCAAGATAAAATAAGAGTATTCTCTGGTAAGTAATGGGGAAGATGAGCAGGATTTGTGGGAGTTAGGGAGGGGTAACCAAGATATTTTTTCACTCTCTAAATCTCCTTATAGGAGAAGGAGTTTCAAATTTTTCTGATCTTTAATTCAACCTTTAAATTTGACTGAACAAATTTAAAGAAGTCAAACCTCATGAGTCATTGGCGAGTTGGAATGAACGAGTGTTTGGAAACACCCAAAACTTTAAATTTGGCATCAAAACACACTCCATTCAATTCCCTTTGCATATTAAATACCTCTTGATTTTTGTTGTCTAAACAAGAAGCCTCACAACTACATAGTCAGCCCAACACTCTTTAGCTTTCTGTTGTTTTACTCCATTCTAATGGCAGTAAAATACGCTTCCCTCTCCCTGCACAGGAATTCTTGTTTGGGAAGAAAAAGTTCTGCTAATGTCTCAGCTTGTTTTCAAATCACTTTCAAAACTAGTTAAGGCAACACAGAGGCAAAATTATTCCTCTTGTTAAGGCAAACTTTTCTCAGTGCCCTTTAACATTGCTTGGCTTAGCTGGCACGGCTCACGGACTTCCAGGTATTTGCCTTTTAAACCAGATACAGTGGGCTAAGTAATATCAATCTTGGCAGACCACTGCTTGCTAAGCTTCAGGAATAAAGACAGTTAGGAGACATGAGCAACTTTTCATCTAGTGAGATGAATGGGCATGGTAAACTGTCATAAACAAACACTTAGAAGTTAAAAAGGTCAGAGAGAGAAATGCCCTTGAAAGTTCTTTAGGTACTTTTAAGATTTAATGAAACTAAGACACAAACCCTTCAGAAATTCATCCGAATATCTTTGTTCTTTAAGCAGTCTAAATTTATTTCATGTAAGCAGTAAGGCACACACGCACCAACCAGAGAAGCAACTGTGAATAAATGTATATGAGAACGTGCTGCCTTGCCTTAGTCACTAACAAAACATGCATGTGCATTACGCTGCAATAGCAGGAGGTCCAGTTTACACACACTGTTGCAATTCTGCGACTTTCATTCCCTTGTTCTCAGTCTGAAGAAAACAAGTGGAGGGAAATGAAATAGTTATTCTTGTTGTTCCTTTTGTGCAGATTAAACTTCTTTGTCTTCTAATGTGAGCCAACAAGCACTTCTGTGTATACCAATAGGCACACAGATCAGAGAGCAAAAAGCTGTCTATTCTTACAAGCAACTGCACAAAACCAAGACTGAATGTCTTTATGGAGATAGGCAACAGAGAAAAAGACATATGAAGACATATGTATAAGCAACTTACCTCTGGTTTGACTGCCTTGCTTGTGTCCTCTGCCTCAGTTCTTAGTCTGTCTCCACTAGCAGACTGATTCACTGGCAGAAACCTGCGCCGATAAAAGGAAGCCAGAACACAATAAGCACTTCAGTGTAGCAGCTGTCAGTGTCATGAGTTGGCAGCATGTATTGTAGAGCGTGTTTAAGTGTTGATTTGGCAATGTTTCAGACATGGGGAAATCTTTGAGATGAAAAAGATCTGGTTAAATTCACAAACCCAAAATGTGCCGTGGAGCAGGAGAGTTTAAGAAGTACTTACAAATCAGTAATTAGGATGTTTAGCTTGTACCTGGGTATTCCAGTTCCCTGAGGCTGTAGCAGACCTTGCCCTGTACTGTCATCCAGATGAGGGGCTACTCCATATGTAATCTTTTAAGGACGAAGAGGAGGAAATGCCCAGCTCCTCTCAACATACACTTTCAAGAACACTGTCTCTGCTATTGCTTTTCATTTGCTTTATGTTAACTTTAACATTAGAGACTCTCCTGTTCTTCAGTGAGGAGCATAACTAATGAAACCCATCTTATTCTACATTAGTTGCTCAGAGTTGACATGGCTTTTGTAGCTGACATGGCACACTGGTGCCAAAGGAGGCTTGAAAACATCATATAACCTTTCTCCCAGTGAGGGTACAAACAAGGGTTCTTACTTCTCCCAAGCCATTTTCATCAACTCTGAAAAGATAGTATCTTTGGAGATCTTTGCCTAGCTGCCAAATTACTTGTAGACAGCCTGGGGGCTCAGTCCTCACTGAAACTGGCTTAATGACCATGGGCAGAAGGACACCTTCTGTGTCCTTAGGCAATTACAAAGAAAGTAGGATCCTCCTATGTGAGGGCCAGCCTTTTTAGCCAATTAACTCATAATTATCTTCAGAAGATCTTGTGTCTCATTATGGACTGATGAGCATTTAGAAGAACACCAGATGAAGGAGCTGTGTTCTTGGGAACAACATTGCAAATAATATGATGCCATTGGGTGGTGGGGAAAGGAAAGGGGTGAAATAAGAGCAGGATATCAGTAAAGCCACAGTAACACTTCTGCTTTACATACAAAGTAGACAACATTTTTTGTGATGGTAAAAAGGTAGCTTGGTAATTTCTCAGTGAAAAGCGTTGTAACTCAGCTGCTTTGATGTCTCTAAGTGTCAAACTGTAAGTTAATCACTTTGGAGGGCTTCTGCAACATGATGTCTAGTCCCTCCTTATGTTCCCAGGTGGGATTAACAGCCCCCGTGATTTTAACAAAGCTGCTTGCCCAACCCGATTCTTACTGATTTTCCAGAAAATTCAACACCCTGCCTCCTCTATGGTGCCCCAGGTTGAAAAATAGCTGAAAGGCTGAAATCTCTTTTTTAGGTGAATTTAGGGGTTGCTCTGGCTTCTTTCATGTATATTGCTATTTCATTTCCCATTGTAAGTACTGAAATCTCACAAAGTAGGTCTCAAGTCCTCACGTGTTTCTTCTGCAAGCAGTGAGTTAGTTGAAGGGCTGACTTTCTAGAGGGTATTTGTCCCCAGGAATTTGTATTGGATGTAAGGAATGTTCTTGTCTTGAGGGGAGCTGTTTTGTTTGGTTCAAGCTCTACTTTCATTCATGGAGGACAAGGCAATGGGACAGGCTTCAGAAATGGGCTTGGAAATGAAACAGGCCTGTTGTTTGTCTTGGAAGGGAAAGGAACAGAAGTGGTACCAGGGATGGTTCATTTGTTCAGCTGATGAACCATTTCACAGAGTGAGACATTGACCCTTTGGTTATAGACTATCACCAGTGAACTGTCTTAGTGTAACAGCTGTACCTGCCCTGGTTAACATCCCAGATTAGGTCCATGTTAACATTTGATTCAAATGGAGAATGATGGTGTCACTCTGAAAGGAAACCCCTAAACGCACTGTGTTTCTTTTCATAGTGAAGCTAATGGCATTTCTTTGTGGAGGGACAGTGACCCTGTCATGTCCATGGACAATAACCATGGAGGCTATCCTTCAAGTCAGTGTCTTTGTGCAGTAAGTACCTATTTGAAACAAGATTGGTAGAGCCAGAGTTCCCCAAGAAATTAAATAGGATGACAGTTTCTTCAGCACTGTTTTCAAAGCAGCCCTTCACACTAATGGGCAAAGGGCTCTAATTACCCATGGGTTGGAGATAATGGATCCCTTCTAGCTGTGTCTGGGTACTTTTCATTTTAGTGTTTAAAGCCCAAAGAGGTTTCTCAGAGCCATGATAAGGGTTAGAACAGCTCAGCTATTTGGCAGCCAGTAGCGTCCATGTGAAACGGCAAGAGATGTGAGGTTCCTGCTGGGTTCAGATGTAACTTTGAACTGAAGTGTCCCATTGAAGTGTTGTCATTGCTAAGATGAAATCAACACCTTTCTCCCACCCTGGAGAGTCCATGTGCGCAAATCCTGAAACTTGCCAGTGAAGATCAAGTTTGCCAAGATTTCTCTATGTTGGGGGAGAGGACAGAGATTGAATCCAAGTTTCCCATCTTCTAAGTGCATGTTTGAACCACGAGACTGACTACTGTTTTCTGCTGGGTCTACCCTCCCTGTGTCCCTTGCTCTTTCTCATGAAAAAAGTGAGCAGCCCTGTTTCAAAAGAAGACAAACCACCTTCTTGTCAGGAGTGAGTTTTTTGTGTGAACTCAAGTTTTTACTTTCTGTTCATTATCTCATCTAATAATAAAATTAATCAATACCATAACTGCTAGAATTAGTCTTGCCTTACACTATGCCTTGCAATAACTGCCAGCTCCATAAATTGAGAAATAATACAAAGAATGGAAAACACCTTGTGATCACTGACCATATCCAGAGAAAGTCAGTGCTTTCACTACTGTTAGGATTTAAAGAAGAAAGCAGGCTGCAAAAAATCCGTGCCTTCTATTAGCAAACTACAGTTACTGCAGAACAAGGATGTACCAATTAAAAAGTGATTACAGATCCACAAGGTTGCCAGAATATATGAAGTGCATCAACAGGATGCAACATGCATGGCAGTCACATGTAGTGGGAAATTAGCAGCAGGAGGAACCCTTTCTCTGACTCCAACAGAAAACATCTGATGCAAAGAAGGTTTTGTTTTTACCGAGTGAAAGCAAGGATCTGTGAATGAATCAGGTATGGCTACTGGTTGTGGGCTAAGGATTCTTTTGCATCAGATCAATAATTTCATTGTACGCACGCAAGGGTGCATCCAATCCCCAGATGAAATCCAGGTGTGCCCATCCAGGAATTCTCTTGTGGTAGATGAGCCTTTTAATTTGAGACAGTAAAATGGCTGCATCCTTGGGATCTGCAAGCAAGTCTTGTCCCCCAGTCCATACTGCTGTTGGTACAGTCATCTCTTCTACATTGTAGAGAGGAGGAGTAGCCTGAAAAACATGAAGCAGTACAGGAATGGATGTCTAGGAAAGCATAGCAAATTTTAAACATGCATTTGGGGCTTTCTTTTGCCAGTGTTCAAAGTAGAGGTGCCTAAACTAAATAGGAAGAAGTGCCCTTGCTTGCCCTTTCTGTCTGCTTGCAGGGATGGCCCAGCTGACAGCACAGCCAAAGGAAAAATACCTCCTTAGTTGACAAAGGGCTACTGTTGGTCTTTGCCCTCTAAGCTAGGAATTCACACAGCAGGAAAATGCAACAAGACAGAAAATGTCAGGGTGCCTTTATAAACAATAGCCCCAGAAAACTTATGTGGTCTAGTTAGAAAACACAACATGAGACAAGGATGAAAAGGAGTATGAAGTGGTTTCTGTAGGGTGAAAGAGCAAGTAGCTTAGGACTCCTGGGTTTGGAAAATAGAGGCCAGAGCAGGTACAGGTGACAGCATTATACAATCACAGATGGTATAAAAAAAGAGCACAGGAAGTAATTACCCCCTTACTTCTCCTAACACAAAACTTAGAAGGCATCCAGGGGCAAGCAAATTCAAGACAAACCAAAGGAAGCTGCATTTCAGGCAAGCCATTATTAAAACATGTAACTCATAGTAATAAGCTGTTGTGGAGACCTTAAGGGTAGGAGGGTCAAGGATGGGACTAGAGTCTTGAATTGAGGACAAAGTCCTTATGCCTCTGGCTTCCAGAATCTAGGGTAGCTATTAGCTCTCCAGTTGCCCTCTTCCTAATATTGTTCTTCTGAGCTCTTACACATTGGCAACTGCCTCAGTCATGCTAGTAGGCAAGATGTCTCTTTGGACTTATCAACTAGATGTACTTTTCTTTTTTCAAATTAATTTTCTATCTTTCCTGCCCTTACTTCCTTTTATTCTTAGAGATCATTTAATTTAAATGTTTCTGTCTCCCTCCAACTCCCCGTGTTTGGTTTTTTTTTTTTTTTTTTTTAAATTTATTGCTGCCATTAGTGCTTGCATGCTTTCTCTGTTGAATTCCAAACTGGAAAGTAGTAATACTTTCATCTACATGTATTCTGAAAACGTGTCTCCTACCACATCCTTGCTCTCTTCCTGCGTGCTTCTGTGTTGTCAAATGCGATAATACTATTTCACCAAAACATACCTGTTGGTATTTTTCCATGTTCTTCTTTGAACTGCCCCAGTCATAAGCTTGGAACTTCCCCGAAAGGGCTTCCTAAGAGGAGGAATAAGAGAAGGGCAGTTACAAAGCCATCATCTAGGAAGTTTGCAGGTTCTTTCCCTGCTGAGCCTCTCACTCCAATCTAAAGACTCAAAAGAAGTCCTTCTAAGAGCTCTGAAAAAGGCAACATTATAATTACTAAAAGTATCAATCAGTGAAAAGGAGTCAAATGTTTTTGTTACAACCAAAAATATCATGGCTCCTGCCCAGAAAGGCCCAGGGATGCTTTCACAGGCAATTCGTTCTAGTTCCTCACTGCTGCTGCCATGTCCTCTTCTGACAGTCATGTTGCCATCACTCAGCTCTGTGAGGGGCTTCTTCTTACGTTTTCTCTTCCCTCTTTGGTTTGAATACAGAAGTCACCATTTCTAGTTCTTGCCTTGTACTAGTTGGCTTTGCCTGCAACATGGGTTATTATTACTGTAAGAGACACCATCAGTGGCATCTTAACATTGAAGGTAAACTGTCTGTTAACTCCTTTAATAGTAATTACAGCAACGACAATGAAGGCTTAGGAGTATTAGTCCTGCATGTTTGTGCTTGCCAGTCTGTGGCTAGATGCTGAATTAAGCCTGAGTCAATTTGTAGAGCTCCCCCCATTACGCCTTTGTAACCCTTTTTCTTTACAGATCTAGGATGGTCACAAAAGCAACTTAATTAAATCTAAAATTTTATGTAAATTCACAGCCAAAATATTGTTTGATTTTGAGTAAATGCCTGTGCAGGTGCTACTCAAACTTATCTGTGCTGTGTTGAAAAGTGCATTAACACCCCTGTAAGCTCACTGTGCTTGCAGCTGCTTCCTGCTCTGCTCCAGAGCCTGCAGTGCTGCCAGGAAACCTGTCCTGCATTGCAGCAGCTTCTGTGACTGAGCCCAGACTTTATGAATCATGAAAGTGTGAAACCAAAGCCTGAAAAGCATCTTTCCTCAGCACTGCTGCTGAGGATGTACTGTCACAGTACCTTGTAAGTAAAGCATATAACAAGTGTACTAAATAAAGAGTTTACTATTTATAGTACTGTTGCTGTTCAGACATTGAGAGCTTTAGAAGGAAGCAATGAAAATACAGGGACTTTTATGAGTAAAATCTGCTATTTTACAAAGCAGGTCATGTCTTGCTCATTTCTTGACCCCCCGTTGAAATCATATGAATTTCTTAAGGTAATCTGTACAGAACTGTGGACATAATTTATAAAAGGTACTGGATACACAGTAGGAAGAAAGATATATAAATCTGCATACACAGCTGCCAGCGTACATGTTTTTACAGAAATACCACATTTCATTGTTGGCTTCAAATGTATCTGTATCACATAGAGTACTTCTATCATGCTGGCAAAGGATTAATGAAAAATAGTGGTGTGAATTAAGATTTCAATTGTAAACCACAAGTTGCATGTATTTCCAAAGAGTTAGCAATGGATTCATAGCAGGATGTCAGCTTATACCCGTTCTATACCATTCAGTCAGAGGTGAGTATCTATTTGATTTCCAGGAGTTTGTTAGTACCTGACTCCAGTGGACTATGTTCTGCACAGAAGTTCCAGCGGTGGTTTGTGCAATATACACATTGATTCGGTTCTGAAAAAAAATATTCAGTGAGTATTCTCTTCCTCTCTTCTATTCTGACATAGATCAAAACATCTGCCACAGCAGAGTCATGTAGCAATAAAACCAACAGAAATTGGAGCAGTATGGTCATCGACTCCCTCAGAGTTACTCCGAACGTGGCAATATTGTTCGGAGGAACACTGAAAGAACAATCTCCAGCCTGTGTGAGAGAGGATTGCTGTTGGGCAGAACAGCAAAAGGAACGACAATTGCCTGAGGACTGCATGAGTACTTGAAATAACACACACCCTAGTCCTGCAGGGGTTTCTTAACAAGTTGCCATGTGATCCTTCTTCAGAGAACATGCTCGGAGGCATTTTTGGAAAAGGCTGGAGCAAAAGTTTGATGCCAGCTGGTCTGACCTACGGCTGTACATAGCACAAGGTGTCCAAGTATGTCTCAGTCCCTAGTGTCTGCCAACTCTGTCAGGTATCCCCAGATATCCTGTGCCTCTGAGCATATCCCTGATGGTCCAAGACTTGGAGGAAGAGGACAAAGGGGTGTGCTCCTTTCTCTGGAGCTTCCGAAAACATGAAGCATGTAGAGGCTTTGTTCTTTTTCCATGGTGTGCCAGCATACTGAAAATCTCTGATGAGACCAGTAGCCACAGCATGAACCAAGAGACAGTGCCCTATGTGAGGTCTGGCAAAAGGCAGACTGCAGAGTTTTGTGGGACTTTGAGCAGCTGCTGATTGTAGGAATGGTGTCAAGTGTTTTTCTGAGGAGTGAGGCAGTGGTTCCCTGCCAGTGATGGGGCAATCAACAGATATTGCTGTGTGGTAATGAGGACTGTTCCCTGCAATATGATGCTGACTAATACAAATCCAGGGTTAACATCACAGCATAGAAGGTAAGTTTTGGGAGCAGAAGCTTGAATTCTCAGTAGAGCTGTAAAAGAGTTATACATACCACATCAATGTTTCTCAGGTTACAGCCACCCAGACCGAAGAAGACACTTCTACAAAGCCTGGCAAAAGCAGGGTTGCTGCACACAGGCACTATTAGCCTTCTCAGACACTCAGTCTGAGGAAGGAATTCTCTTTTGCCAAGCAGTCCCTGTGAAATACAAAGGTAACATTCATTTAAGAATGTACACTTGTACATAGTGCTGTTGTTTTTAAAAGGTGTTTGTGTCCTGTTCCTCTTCTCCAGCACTTTCAGTGATTCTCACTTGCTTTCTCTTCATTTACCAGATGATGTTCACATAAACAAGAAAGAAATTAGGTGATGAGGGGTTTTCTTCCATTTCATCAGCCTGCTCAGGCATTACTCAATTTAGGTTACATCACTTTTAATGAAGAGATATGTTAAATGTTAACTCCAGTTCGTAGGTTAGCTCTAAGCTTGTACATCGATCGTGGCTTTGTCTACAGGAATCTTGGAAACCTTTGAGGATCTGCATCTCTGTACCTCTCTGGGTGAGCTATCCCAATGCTGCACTATTGCCCTAGTTAAAAAGGGTTTTTCTTAATGTCCAGTCTGAACTTCCAAAGATTTCAGACATAAGGTAAACCTACCCACATGCAAATGAGTAGACTTCGTAAAGCCCTATGCTTTCTGTTTATCCATTTTAAGAGCTAAACAAACAAGTATGGTTAAACAGTTGAAACCAAGATATCACATACCCTGAGCAATGTTTCAGGAAGGTAGAGAAGCTTTGTCACTGGGCTTCTAGCGTACTTAATAGTAACGACAGGTGCCAACGCCAAATAGAGTTTGATTTTCCGAGCCAGCTCTGGCATTGTTGAAAAGGCAATGAAAGCTGAGAAAATAAAATAGGTGAGTTAAAGAAAATCATAATTTGTACATCAGACTATTTTCATTATTTATAAATGCTATTCTGCAATTTCAAACCTACAAGCAACCTTGTTAGTTGTTCAGAGATTACAGTTCAGCCTAGAATTCTGTAAAATCCCTCTTCTCCATGTGTTACCAGATTGTAGTTTTATTTCCCTTTTCAGAGAGAAATTTCTGTCTATATTTTGCTTTTGCAGCTTTTTTCCAAATCCATTTAAACATAAATGCACACTTCTGATGTACATTCATGCATTTCATGTGTACTGGGAGGTGCAGTTTTTCTTACGTTCCATCCAAATTCATATTTTCTTTTGTGTGTGTTTGTCCTGTCCAAACTGGCCAACTTCTCTTTCTGTACTTTCATCTTCCTGTTTTGTTTATTTTGGTCAACTGACCAGCTGCTGTTGGGCACACCCTTACATCTTGGAATAAAACAATTTGTATGGCCCACAATAATTTCCAGTATAACTGTAAATTGATAGAGCAGTGGTGCACTTGGTCCATTATGTTTTATTGTCTTTATAATAAATTTAAAATGCCTATATGCTGAAAACAGCTTATCCTGTGTTTTTCTCACCTGCAAAGAGTTAATGAAAACCCCAGGTACATTCAATACCACAGTATCTCAATTCACATTTTACCTCTCTTTTCCTGAAACATTGGTCTGTGGTGTGTAACTTACCGATGGTAGTACCTTGCGAATAGCCAATATAGTACAACTTTTCCTGTCCTGTTTTCTCCACAATGAAATCTATTGCTGCTGGAAGATCAAACTTTGCCATCTCATCAAAACTGCAGGCAGCAGATCGAAAGAGAGTTATGCACAAATTAAAAATCAGACTTTGAATTGAATTCACATTTTTATGGCAGACTTGCCAGCACAGAAACAGCATGAACTGTTCAGTGGATCATTCCGCTCTTTTAGGTTCTGTGTTTTTCTGGCACTGGATACAGAAGATACTACTCAAAATCTTCTGGGGTATTTTCTCCCTTTACATCAAATGAAGGACTATAACTTCAAGAAGCATCAGGTTCAATTGTAAGTGTCCATACAAAAGGGACAAGTGGTGATATAGTTACAGAGCTCCTTCCATGGAATCACTCATTTTATACAATTTGGCATTAAATAAAAGGTCTATTTTTAAAAGCTCATTAAAGTAAGTGCAAAAATTATTTACATTTTCTCCTTCTGTTTTTTTTGTGTTATTGTAATATACAGACTAGTGTCTCTAGATAGTCTTCAAAACTGCCTCTGGAACTGAGGAATGGCTTGAAGAAGACCTGTGCAGGTTCCTCTGTGTTGCTCTGCTGCTATGCCCCTAGAACCTTTTCTAGCAGTAATTAGTCTCCGTTACTATTGAAGTTCACATATGTGTATACGTGCACCTCAGCAAAACTGAACATAAAGAATGCTTTATAAAAGGTAGCATACATAAACCCCTGTTTAGCCAGCTTAAATAAAGATTGACAATGGAGATGCTCTTCAATGCTTCCATCTACCTGAAAGCCCAGAATTCATCTTGATCAATGGAATAGTTTTGATGTTTTCTGGACCAGCGATTCCCTCTGCTATTTCCCATCCACACATCAAAACCAGCATCAGCTAGTAGGAAGCCCAAGCTGTTGTTGGGCAGGTTTGTGACCCAGTTGCTAGCGTCTCCCAATAATCCATGTTGGAGAAACACAGCAGGTTTTATAGCTGAAAAATAAATCAGAAACAAAACAGGTTTTGGTTTTTTTTTTTTTTTCTTTTTCTTTTGCTGGTAGTTCAGGGATATTACTGTCAGTACTGGATTTGTTCCTGCACCAATTTAAAGGGAGAAAACTATAAAAACAAAACATCGCTTTCTATAAAGACAGAACTTTTAAGCTTCTGTAAGGATTTATGGAAAGATCTGTCTGACACCAGTGAAAACTAGTTCGGCACCTTCTGGTCACTGTATAGCTCAGCTGCATTAGCTTGAGATTCTTAACATTGATATAAAGAATGAAGGTGTGGGATTGTTTGCAGAGGTTTCCTTTACCCAAAATATGAATCATTCCCTGATATGTACCAGGTGTAAGCAAAACCAAAGCAAAATGAAAAGCTGGAACAGCTTTCACAAAACAGGCTGATTGGGAGGATTATGGCCTTTACCCTAGTTTTTAAAACCCCTTTTACTTATCAGCTCTAATTATGAGGGTATATGCTTCATCTATAGTGCATTTTTGTTATAAATAGGAATGCTTGACATAAATCAGGTTGGTCTTGCCACAATTCTCTGCTAAAATTTCACTTGCATACACAAGCTTTACCAGACATTTTATGAATATAAGGTATCTCTTTCCAGAACGTGCCCTGTCTAGGCTGGTTTTGTCTCATATTAAAGAATTGTACCTGGGTTTCCCTGGTTCTGTGTACCATAAGGGATCCGGTTAAGGGTAATAGTATAACCATCTTCTGTTGTCACTTCATACTCCTCACTGGGGTACCCCTTGTAAGTAATGAGCTCATTCTAGAAGAGAAGGTACAAATGCATTTACTTGCATAAGATAGATATTCACGATGAAGAAATGTTAGAAAGCAGAAACAGCTGGGGATTTAGTCTACATATATTAAGCATCTGAATAAAGTCATATCAGATTGGATATTGTAAGCCTGCAATTACAAATTTCCTTAATTCTTTGTATTATATCTAGGATTCAACTATTCATTTACAATCTGCTAAAACCCCCCTGTATTACACTACTGCTGTACAATCATCACAAGCCCTCGCGTTCTGGTGATATAAGAATCATCTATAAGCTCATAGAAAGAGTTTATGATTCCCTTAGCTGAGATGAGGAGCTGCCCAGGTGCATGTTCCTGATCTGCTGTCATGCAAGTGAAACCAGTTTATTTAAACTACCTTCAGAGAAATCCAGAGGGCTTTACAACTCTCCTTTTATGAATGGTACATACGCAGTGAGTACCGCTGAAAAACTGACTACATTATGGAAAAAACAGGACCAGCCACTTGCCTAGTCATGAGAGAAAACACTAGCACAGCCAGGCCCAAGCTCTGAAATTAAGTGTCACTTTTGATGTGTATCACTCAACCTGTTTTGTTACAAAAGAGGAATGGTTTTTACAACTTGTACTCAGTGAATTACCCAATGTAATTTGCCACGCAGCACAGAAACCCCAAGATTTTAACAAGTGACTAAAGATCTAAACAAGCTTGCTTGGCAAGAGGTGCTCTTATGAAAAGCCGGCCGCTTCTGAGCTATGCTGGTCATTCAAAAAATGAGAAAACATAAGCCACTAGTTATTTAGAGTCTTCTTTGCTGATGAAATGCTGACATTCCAAAGGGTCGTTCTTTCAGACAGGGGGATTGTGCCAGCAATAGCAAACTGGTAACTGATATTTAAAATGAAATTAACTCTGGACATTAGAGGAAAGGTGTTTGGTTTAATTTTTATCAAACTTATGATGTGCTATTACACACGCAGACAGAAGAAAGAGGAGAGGAGAGGAGAGGAGAGGAGAGGAGAGGAGAGGAGAGGAGATGAAAGCAGCAATATATACAGTGATGAGAGAAGATGGGTTAAATAAAGGCAGCTTATCCGCCTTGTTATTTCTAATACCTAGAAACCCCTCTGCTGTGAGACATGCACTCCTTCAATCCCTAGGTCATTCTACCAAGCAGCTTACAATATTCATAAATGCTTCAGGATCCACAGCTCTCTGAGTTCTTCTGAGTTCTTCTGAATAAGTAATTTGCTGCAACGAATATGTCACAGCAACAAAGAGCCATATCTTCTTCCTGGACAAAACAGTATATTCATCTGTCAGTAGTCCTGCTCAGCACTTGTAATCCAGACAGTTTCTCTACTTTTCTGATGAGTGAAGTGCTGCCTAATACTGAATGACCTAGTCTTGTACTCCCCACTTGTTAATTAAATGGAACAAATGAGGGAGTTTGGCAGCAATCTGGATAATCTGCTAAGGTTTGGATCAGAATGTTGTTTTCAATCAGGGCAAAAGTATCAGTGAATCCAAGGAGCACAGGTTTCAGAGAAAAGGATTTCACTCATTCTTCTGAGAAACAAGTCACTTGCATTACCATGCCATGCATTTGTTTTGTAGATTAATTAGGAAACATTCTTGGCTAACTCTGGGGAACACTAGAGTTACTGGGCAACTTGTAACTAAATCAATCATTGTCACGGTAAAGTTTTTGAAGTGCAGACAACCAAATTGTTTGGTAGGTGGCTGAAAAAAACAAAGACAATTGAAAATAAACAGATTTAAATATTTTTCATTTAATGAAGAACTTAGGAAGCTAAATGGCAAAATTTATCCACTCCATAGGATGAGGATGAAGAAAGGAAAAGAAAGCTTTGATAAATGTAATGCTATGTAAAGACTGAGTGCAGGGAAGTCCAGTTTTGTTCAGAAAATAAGGAATAAAAAACTGAGAGGAAAACTAGCCTGCTTAGAGGCACACATAGCAGCTCCACAGTCTGTGAACACCTGCATACCCTTACCTCAAACAAAATGCAGAGTGTTTGAATTATCATTCTCTCTGCACCATGCAAACCCCTAGAGGCCATGTCTAAATCTCTGTCATAGATCCCTAAGTTAGGTTGAATCAGCTAATAATCCATTGCATTTATTATTTTCCCAATAAATTTATTTCCCAATCAAGAAGACTTTGTAACTTTTTTCTCAAATAATATGAATACCTAATATTTTTCTTGCCACGGAACAACAACTTATAGTCTATCTTCCTAAAACTACATACTGATATAATCTGTATCTCGAAAATACTTAGCTCCTTTTGTAGAAAAAAGAACAGACATTTTTTAAAAAAACCCCTTTCTTTTACAGAGTTAGCCTCCCTTCTTTTGGTTGAAAGCCACTGCAATCGTATTCCCACATTTGCCATTTCCCCATGCCTCTCCAGTTATCCCAGGATTACCTAAATTCACGCTAGGTGAGTCATGCTACTTGCCTTTAGCTGAAAGGAGTCTTTCAAGAAATAGCTATCCTGTCACCTATGTGAGTTACAAGCAAAAACAACATAATGAAATATATTTGCTCTCAAATAATAAATCAACTCTTTAAGCCCAGGTTTAATACCGTCTTTTGCAGCTCCCACAAAATCTTCATCAGTTTTGGGTCAGAGATGAATTAAAGCTTTACCGACCTTGTGTCAGAAACCATGTGTTCAGCTGAGCAACAGAGACAACAGAAGAACAGAAACAGTTCTAGGCTGTTTGAAAGCAGTGCTGGGTAAAGATGGCAGTGAAATGATGGTCATGCACCGATTTTCCCCTATGGTCATGCAGCACCTTGACAATAAGCATTTATTTCTTTCCCACTCCTTTTTCGTTCTGCTGTCACTTCAGCTTTTCCCTAGGGTGGCACCAGACAGAGGTGACTCCTTTTATTCTCACACCTTGTGCTTTTCATCTCCTTAGCCACCACAGCTATAACAAGGCTCTTTTTACTATCTCAGATTGCTGGATTTTTAAGGAGAATACCAGCCTCTGTGGAGTGGCAGAGCAGGATCAGGAATTTTGAAAATAAATATGTTCATAGATACACCTTATCATATCTAACGAAATTGCCAATAAACCTCTTTCACTAACAACATGCCAATTCCAGTTTCTTATCCAGTTATGTGGAAAGGATGGAAGGAACTCTGATCCTTGGATACTTCTATATATGTTATGGCACATACTTTTATTCTTTTAATGCTTATATTGCTGTTCTGTAGTTCCACGTGGTTGCAGGAATGGTTTCAGAGATTTTCCTTTATCCATATTTCACCTCAAAAATGGCCATAGAATAAAATGGATATTTCCTATATGACTAGTTATGAGTGTTGTTCAACATCTTTGTCGGTGACATG